GGGAACTTATTGGACCTGGTGCTAGGGTACTGATTTCTTGTCATTCAGAGCCAATAAAAGTCATAACTATTAGCTCCTTGCATTTGCCCTGCAGGAAAATGTTTAGGGGTGTGTGCTTTGGGGCTTGGTGGATTGGCAAGACACAGTGAAGCAGCAAGCTGGGTGCAGCAGACCCTTCTCTCCCTGCTTCACCCAGAGGGCTTGGGGGCTGCCTATAAAGTGTTTCTAGCCCCATTTTACAGGCCAGGTGACTGGGTACCGAGAGAAAAACGACAGTATGTGGGGTCACATGGTGCCTTCAGGCCCAGCATGCTGGCTCCAGCCGGAGCCATGTTCTGTGCCCCAAATGCCAGGTAGTTCTTGCCTGGAACAGCCAGGCATAAGGACCTTTTTCCACCTCAAAGGCCTGGGTAGCTGGAGCTTCTCCATAGTCACCTGAGAGGATATGAAAGAAATGAAAACTCATTTAGAAAAGGGGCATCTTGGTAGGAGTTGGGGAGGTCCCTCTGACTCAGCTGCTGCTGAGAGGAAGCTCCCTGGGATAGGAGGAAGGAGGGGTGTGGAGGAATGGGTGTGTGGGGAACATCAGCCCTGCTCTTGTTTCTTCTGGAAAGAGGGCCTGGCTTCCACTAAAGCAACAAAGGTGCACGCTGACATTTATCCCAAGAGCACATTGCCTCCACTGGGGAGGGTTTAAGATGTAGCACTAGGAGGATATGGGTTCCATGAATCCTAACTGCAGAGCTAAAATATCCCAGATCAGTGTGATGTCCCTCTCCGGGGTGGAAGTTAGAATGGAAGCAACAGATTGCTTATATGATCAGGGTGATGTTATGAGATTCTGTTCATGCCTAGAAAGTGCTCAGCTCACTGTCGGTCATTTCCATCTCAGGAAGCCCCAGGTCACTTTGTGCTGCCTGTCTGGGAGCCACAGTGCGGGGGGAGGGGGTGAGTGGGGCGCTGTGCAGAGCTGTGTAGGGGTCTCAGTGGAAGGAGTGGCATCTGGTGTGGCAGAGGCAGGGCAGTGGGGCTTAGGATAACTCAGCATGAGTTCACATGCTGAGTCAGCTACAGCTACAGCTACAGCTTGAAGACTGTGAGGGTGGGCAGGATCCTACAGGAAAGTCCTATAATGCCTGCTTGAAATACAGACTAATAGTTAAATTTGAAGCTTAGATAAATAAAGCTTCGTTTTATTGTATAATTATACCGTTACTGTTGTGCCAAATCTGGGAACCTATCAATCATTGCTATAAACCTTCCCTGCCTGCTATCATATAGCCTGGGGAAGGGGGCCCTCTGGGATAGATGATGGTGGCCCTCATGAATGCTGTTCTCCAGAGGCCTGGACACCTGCCGTCCTCCGCCCCCTGCACCCCTCAGCTGGCTGAGTGAGGAGCTCTGGAGGTTCTACAGTTACAGGGTAGCCCAGACTGGAATGGGCCGCCTGTCTGTGGGGCTTCACCCATGTGCTCAAAATTCAGTTATACTGCAGGTGCACACAAAAGGGTCAATAATGTGTTTATTTACAAAAGGGGAAAGGAATAGGAAATAGCCCAGGGAAAGAGAGCGGGATACAAAGTAACTGGAATAACTTACCTGCTCTGCTGACTGAAAACACCAAGTCACATGGTCTGGAGAGCATTTCCCCAGTGAAAGAGAGATGCAATCGCATCCTATTTATCCCCCAAATGTCCCAGAATTCCTGCTAGCTCCGTCCTTGGGTCTCGCAGTTCTCTCCCTGGTACTGCTGGGAGTTGTAGTTTCCAATCACTGGAGTAGGGGAAAGAATCCAGAAAGCTGCAGAGTTCCTTTAGGACATCCTTCACCTTAACATTACCCTAAA